TTTTAGCTTTTTTTTAGCACAACGGTTTGCCTTTGGTGAGCTGGATGTCTGGGGTTGCATCTCATTTAAGTGTCTTCTATTTTTTAAAGTTTAATTCCAGGGGGCTGGGAGTTTAGCTCAGCGGCATAATCACCTGCCTTGAAAGCAGGCAGTCGTGAGTTTGATCCCCAGTACTGATAAAAAGGAAAAAGACAAAAAAAAAGTTTAATTCCAGGGTTTATACTTGTAAATTGCCTTATTGGTAGTATTTAGAACCCTTAAGAAATGACTACTTCTCAAAGATATCTTCAAGGTGTAGCTGTCTTTTGAGTTTTGAATCTGTTGCAAGTTCCTACCTTTTCAGTTTATTGGCAATGAGAAGTTGTTGCCTACTTGGCCCTGCCCCTAGTTTTTTTGTGTTGGCCTACAGTATTTTTTTAGGCAGTCTCAGTCTTGGTATGCTAGGAAAAACAACAATCACTGCTGTCCACTGTGTCCTATGTTCTCCTCCATTGGTGTGCTTCTCTCTGGAGGCCTCTGTGGTAACCAGCAGTCACCCTGTATCTATAGATTTAAGCTGCCCCTCCTATGCAGTGAGTCTGTGTTCAGGGAGAAAATACCAGCTGCCTCCTCCTTCTTTTTCATTGAGGTTTCTCCCTTCACTCTAACTGTGGGATTCAATTTTGCTTCAGATCCTTCCTACATCCTGAGGACTCACCTTTCCTTCTTCTCTTCCTCACAATGCTATATCCTAGTGTCTGGACACCAAATCTTGGAGAGGCTTTTTCTCTACTGCTCATCACTCTGCCATCTTCCTAGAAGTCTTTGGAAGTTTGTTTTCTATTGTGGCTATCTATTATTATGTATTGTGGATATCTGTTTTTTTTGTTTCTTTGTTTGCTTGGCATGGTTAGAGCTTCTACCTGAAAGATTACAAATTTTCTACTAGGAACTTTTTGATAAAGCCAGTTCTTCCAATTTCTGTTGTAAATCCCTCATTTTGTCGTTGTAAAGGCCTCTGATCACATTAGGTGGTGCAGGACTTCGTACAAGTGAGCTTTCAGGGGGCAATTACCTCTCCTCCTGTTGCTGTCCTTTGCCATGTGTACTTTCCCTTTGCTTTGCTAGCTTTCACATCCTGGATGTTTTACTGGTGCACAAAAACCTACAACCCCTTCCACTATAAGGAATTTTTTCACTGGGTGTGAATGAAGTGGCATGGTAAATGTTAGTTCTTTCTTTCTTTTTTTTAGTGCTGATGATTAAGCTGAGGGCCTCACACATGCTAAGCACTCTCTGTATCACTGAGTTACACCCACAACTACAAATATTGGCAATACTGGCTAACACATATGCAGTGGAACTTAGTGGAGAGTTCACCCTTCCTGCTTTTTTATATTTTGTCGCTCTTCTGAGATGTTTGTTTTCTGTAACTTTTCTGGCCCTTTCTATTTTTCTCTGTGTCGGGCCTCCTGGCAACTACACATATTCAACATAACATAAGTGAGAGTGACAGTATGAAAGCTGAAAGAAAAAAATCCAACTTGTCCTCCACATCAAGGGCTTTTAAACATTAGTGTTCTCATTCTTGCTTTGCTCCCCATCAGGAAGGAGTACAGTGCCAGTCTTACCTTATCATGATGTTATTTCAGATCATCTTTGTGAGTTATGTGGGAAACACTAGGCTTACACATATGCCTAGGAGCTGAGATTTGAAGCCATTATTAGTTTTTAGTGATATCCTTGTCCTCCCTATTAGCTCCTCTAGAATGTAAATAAGATCATGTACTTGCAATGAGTAGTGAAAGAAAGTAGGAAATTAGGAGAACTAGTCTCTATTAGTGCATTGAGAAAGTCATTCAATCTCTTTGGAATTCAAAAATTTCTCCATAAAAACCAGACCAAGACCTTAGAGTTACTATTGGCTTTCAGATTCTCTATTGAAAAAGACAAATTTTTAAGAGAAGTTGTATATTTTGACGTAATAGAATATTGGTAAAATACACAAGCTATAGATAGGCATACCCTACCCAGAGTCCAAAAATGTGTATTCTTCTTTTACATGTATCTTCATTTGTTGTGGTGTGATTTGCAAGGACAGTTTGGGTTTGATTGTCACCCCACTGTTATTTGTTCACATTTAATGAAGTTAGACTCACTCCAGGGAGCTGTTTATAAAATTGAACATTACACCATTGATTTGAATCAATTTGGACAACAATCAATGACCTGAAAAGCACCAATCTAAAATCGTGGTCATTAGTCACAAAGAAAAAAAAGAGAACTGTTATTTGTTTCACTTTTAATTTCCAAATATGATTGATGAGGAGGCGTCGCAGGTTGGTGTCAACTGGAAAAATATTACAAGAAAATTGTGAAAGACTAAAGGACATTTTGAACCTTGGAGAATTAGGTTATACTACATTGATCAACATTACTGTGGTCATCCTGAATTAGTGCCCCATAATCACCCAACCAGAGCCTTTATGTCTGGAACCAGCAGTGTTTGTCACACTGATTAGCCATTCATAGTGCTATTTTAAGGTTCTGTGAGCACGTTTGTGATTTTCATCCTCTAACTATAAGGTAAGTGGTAAATATGTGGACAGTCTTGCTTTTGAGAAACATATAGGACATACTTGCTAGAACAGAAAAAGTCAAGATCTGAAATTAAATGCAGGAAAGGATTACCAGAGTTTTACATACTAGATAAGATACTAGATTAGTACATATTGATGAAAGAGAATTGAGAACCTTCCCACTACTTAAAGGTAAGAAGTTTTTTTCTAGAAAATTTAGGATTACTAGTTTAAAGGCTCTTGTCCTTTGTATACTAATGGTGGATTTTGTGTTGCTATTTTTTATATATGCCAAGTTTATTTGCTACTTAAAATAACCTCCATGTTTAAAAATTATAGTGTCTAAAGAGAAGTGTTATATGGTTTAAAATTTCCAAATAGAGAAGTTAACTGTAATGAGTTAGCTCTTCCACCACTGGGTTTTTAAGCAGTAAAGGAACATTTTAAAAATAATAATGGCCAGAAATTTTTAGAGGCCAAAATATTTGTGGGAAAAGATCTTAACTCTTAATTTGATAGGATACAGTTTAGGAACATATTGCTTCAGTAAATGAGGTATGAGTTCAAAAATTTTAAATCTACTTTTTGTTTTTGTTGTACTTTAATCCTGAGTGCCTTCTGAACATCTTCACTTTTCATATTAAGTTTTTAAAATATGTATTTTTTCAAATTATAATTACTGATATTGATGTTCTTGAAAAGCCTAACCCTATTTCAAAATTATAAAGCATATTTTTATAATTTACTACTTTTATGGCTTACATTTAAAAATACTTAATGTAACTTTAAATGTTTAAGTATTTTATATTATTGTAAAATTTTATATTTAAAATTTGGCTCCTGACTGTATCACTGAAAAATTAAACATTTAATAAATTAATTGGGAATTTATTTTGTTTGGAGATAATTTGGGAAAATTCTAAAATTCCTACTTTTTTTTTGTAGTTTTTCTGAATGACACTCATTTTTTTCTTTACAATTTTGGTTGACTATATGGTTTAATGGGTGTTCTTAGTGACCAAGTATTATGAGGGCTGGGACTAGACATTTCCTGTTTGTGGTTGAGTTTCTGGCATCTAGCACAATGTCTAGAGATAGTAGGAGTTTTATCTTAGTTGTTGTTGTCATCATCATCATTTTTATTATTGCAGTAGTTAGAATTGTAATAGGATCATTCACACTAAGAAAGTGCTCTATCACTAAGCTATAACTCCAATCTTTTAAAATTTGATGTAATGGGGTCTCAGTAAGTTGCCTACGATGGCCTTGAACTTGCACTCTTCATGTCTCAGCCTTGCAAGTAACCAGAATTACATGTATGTGCCACATCATTTGGTTAGTACATATTATTTGAATGAATGAATTATGGGAGGAGAAAAACTGTTTCATTATGTGTTTTAGTTTAAGCTGATGGATGTATTTCCTCTGTGTCTTTCTTATTTGGAAGTCTTCCACTTCTTAGAACCATGTCACCTACCAAGTATTTTAACTTCAACAAATCTCGAAAAATGTAATTTTTCTAGGGTAAACCAAACAAACTTTATATCACCTATATCCTGATTTTTCCTAGATTCCAAGATTTCTAGAGAAGTAGTTTATATTCACTTTTCTTTTGAGTTAGAAAATATTTCCAAAGAGATATGATGTTCCAGATGTGACTTAGAGGGTGTAATCAGGTATTATTTCTGGTATTGTTTCTGTATCTGCCTAATCTGAGAAGCCTTGGATACTTTTATTTATTTATATTTAATCTTACTTTAAAAGCCATAAATAATATTTCATGAGGATCTAGTTTACTTCTCCCATTGATAGTTATTTCACTGATACAATAAAGAAGCCAAATTTAAACAGAAGACATTTCAATCAACTATTATGTATTGATATCTTCTGTCTACAAAGATGAAAATGATATAAAAAGTTGCTATCTGGAAGGAGGACATAAGGCACAAACATTACAAGACTCATCTAAACAGTGCCAAATAACTGGTTGTAAGAACTTAGGAAAGGGGAAAATCACAGACTTGGAGTGGTTAGGGAAAAAATCCTGAGATTTATTTACGATCACGTTAAATGTACGGCAAATGCTGCATTTCATATAAGTAGAAAAATGAAGAAAATTGTGGAATGAGAATGCATTGTGAAAATATAAAGACCATGTTAGTGAACCAGTACACTGAAATGACAGGCAACTGTGTGAGAGGCTAGAAGATGGTGAGAAGTAAACAGAGTTAGATTGTGGTGGGTTTTTAAAAAAACTGATATTCCTTGACACATCCTGTTTCATCAAACATGGACCAGAAATAGTAGGGCTAAAAAATCCTTGATAATTTTGCTGAAAAAATAACCTTATATATTTGTGAACATATTTCTTTATTCTTGTACTTTTACATCCGTGTGTGTGTGTGTGTGTTAACCTCAGTGTTTTCTGTATATTTCAGGCATTAATTTCTAAATATGGGGGACTGGAATCTATTGGGCAGTATCCTAGAGGAAGTTCACTCCCACTCGACCATAGTGGGGAAAATCTGGCTGACCATTCTCTTCATCTTCCGTATGCTGGTACTTGGTGTGGCTGCTGAGGATGTCTGGGATGATGAGCAGTCAGCATTTGCCTGCAATACTCAGCAACCAGGTTGCAACAATATCTGTTATGATGATGCTTTTCCTATCTCTTTGATCAGATTCTGGGTTTTACAGATCATATTTGTGTCTTCTCCTTCTCTGGTATACATGGGCCATGCACTTTATAGACTTAGAGACTTTGAGAAAGAGAGGCAGAGGAAAAAGTCATACCTCAGAATGCAAATGGAGAATCCAGATCTTGACCTGGAGGAGCAACAAAGGATAGACAGGGAACTGAGGAGACTGGAGGAACAGAAGAGGATCCATAAAGTCCCTCTGAAAGGATGCCTGCTACGTACTTATGTCTTACACATTTTGACCAGATCTGTGCTAGAAGTAGGGTTTATGATAGGCCAATATATTCTCTATGGGTTTCAAATGCAACCCCTTTACAAATGCACCCAACCTCCTTGCCCTAACTCAGTGGATTGTTTTGTATCTAGGCCCACAGAGAAGACCATTTTCATGCTATTTATGCACAGTATTGCAGCCATCTCCTTGTTACTGAATATACTGGAAATATTTCATCTTGGTATCAGGAAAATCATGAGGGCACTTTATGATCAATCCAGCAGTGGAGATATTGAGAATGAAAGAGGTCCTCCATTTCATTTGAAGAACTATTCAGGGATCCAGCAGTGTACGATTTGCTCTTACTTACCTGAAAGAACTTCTTTACTTCAAGCCAACAACCAACAGCAGGTAACCCAAATCACTGCGCCAAAATCTAAAACCATGTGGCATATCCCACAGCCTAGGCAACTTGAAGTTGATTTTTCCTGCAGCAAAAAAGACTGGTCCGAGAAGGATCAGAACAATGGACAGCTCCATGCCCACAGCCCACGTTTCCAGAACGGCTGTACCGGGATTCAGCACCAGGGACAGCAACCAAACAATTCCTCCCCTAGCCTACAGAACATAAAGTCCCAGTCCTGGGTAGGTACGGTAATGGCTTCTAGACACCGTCCATCCTATATATCAGGAACATGGGAGCAATCTCAGGACTTGGCGCTCTCAGGTGAACCTGTTACAGATCTGCACCGTCACTGGAGAGACAGTGAGGGCAGTTTGAGAGAGAGTGGGGCCTGGAGGGAAAGATCTCACCCGGGCAGTCGCAAGGCCAGTTTTCTTTCCAGAAGGATGTCTGAGAAGGGACAGCTGCGCAGTGACTCAAGAAGCTCCAGTTCTCTGAATAGCTCTTGCTTGGATTTTCCACACCGGGAAAACAGCCCCTCTTCTCTGCCCTCATCCACTGGGCACAGAGCATCAATGGTAAGTAAAGACAGACAGCCATAATGATTACAGAATGGTCACAAAAGCTGACCTTCTCTGGCTACCTCTTTGCCTTTCTTCCTCCCTGGAGTATATACACATGTGCTAAGAAAGAAGATGTAGAATGGACTTAATTTTTGAAAAGATAAATTCATATGATTCCATTAACTTTAATTTAATTAACAAAGAAATAAGAAATGTAGCTATTTTGTTTATACAAATCACAATTTTATAAATATTGAGAGTATAAATGGATTAAAATACTTTCTCTTCCATCAAAGGATTCAGATTATAAATGGGAGGGTTAGATTGATGTATATATAGGCACAATCAATTATGTTATTGGCTAAAGAGGTATAGATGGGTCACAGAAACCTTTGTGGTTGAAGTTACTTTGAACTAAGTCTTGAAATATGTGGTGAGTTTCTCCAGAACCAGGAGAAGAGAACACAACATTAGTAGAAAAACAGCACAAAGTCTTCACAGCAGAACTGTCCGAGAAATTGTGGGTGGTGAGCACAGAGAAACAGGAGGGACGTGGGGAGATGGCAGACTGGAAAAGCTGGCCCGGAGGTCTTGTAGGAAGGCAATGGAGAACCAACAAAGATCTGAAGTAGAGCAGGGACCAGATCACAATTGTACTTCAGAATGCTCTGTCACAACGTGGGAAATGGATCAGAGGTGGGGTCATTTGTAACCTTGAGTTGCCCTTGTAAGACAAAGGTAGGTAAGTATCTATCATTGTTTTAATACCTGCAGCATTTAAAATCATCTACAAAATTGGGCATGGTACAGCCGGGTGTGGTGGCTCACTCCTGTAATCCCAGCACTCGGGAGGCTGAGGCAGGAGGATCGTTGCGAGTTCGAGACCAGCCTGGGCTACAAAGTGAGCCCAAGGCCATCCTGAACTGCATAGCAAGACCTTATCTCAAAAAGACAAAAGAAGCATCTACAGATATTTAGTGATATATTTCACAAGCACTAAAAATAATATTGTACTGATTTTAATTTTGTTCTCTGACATGCCATTGTAATATTATCATTCCCTGATCATGTAAGACATGATGGATATTTACTGGGGATTCTTCCCCATTCTGGAGCAAAAGATGGTATTTGTTTTGTCCACTGCTCTTAACAATCAGCTGTACTTGTTAGCTTTCCTGTTGCTGGGAAATAATACCTGCTACTTACAGTTTAAAGAAGAAAAGGTTTACTTTTGCTTTCAGGTTCAGGTGATTCAGTGCATGCAACCATGCAGGTTTCAATGCAGGAATTTAATAGTGGAAGGTTATGGTGGAGCAAAGTTCTTAATTTATGCTGTCCAGGAACCAGAGCAGAGAAACAGCACCAAAGAGGAAAGGGCAAGGGACCAGAGCTAGACCTCAAGGCCACACCTCCATAATCCATCAGCCATGACCAAGGAGGGCACTTCGTCAATCCCTCAGGGAAATCTCAGAGCCAATCAAGTGGACATCATGCCTCTTGTTGACTTGATACCCAAAATTCAGTTTTCCATAACAAAGGAAACTTTCCTAAGTTTTTGGGAAAGCTACTTACATGAACTTACATGGTTGAGCTCAGACATGTGCTTCTGGCTTTGTGTAACCCTTTGCAATAATAATAGTTGAACCCCTTTCCCTATTTGATACATCCTATTTGTGTACAGATACTATTGTTCCTGAATTAAAACCTTACCTTGTGTAACAATCAGCCTATTTGGAGCTGAGTGGGATGGCACATGCTTGTAATTCCAGCACCAGGAAGGCTGAAGCAGGTGGATCTATGTGAGTTGAAGGAACTTTGGGCATCATAGTGAGTGTGATACCAGCCTGCCAACTACATAAAAAAGGAATCAGTCTATTTGACTTTTTCACTAAAATTCTTTGTTCAAACTAAAACTTATTTTTCTTTGTCTGTGATAAGTATCTACCCATAAGACATTGAGGATCAATGCATGAAATTCTATGACAATTTAGTGTAGGGTTCTCAATTCTGATGACACATTAAATTCATCTGGCCTGGGAGTGTAGGTCAGTGGCAAAACATTACTCTAGCGTGTGTGAAGCCCTGTGTTTGATCCCTAGCATAAAAAACAAAGAGTCATCTGAGAGTTTTAAAAATCTTCATGCCCTGGATCCATCCCATCAGAACAGAATCCTTATGGGTAGGATGCAGGTATTAATGCTCCTAAAACTCCTATGATGATTGCAGTGTGTAGTTGGTGTTAATAAATATTTTTTAAAAATAACTTGAATAGTTAATACTTCTTATCTGCATTTTGTGAAGCTAGCAAAAACATCATTTTTCTTTTCATGTGACAGGAGACTTTGTATTGGCAGAGATGGGGGAAAGAGCGACATAGAAAGAGATTATTTAGTTGATACAGATTTTCCTCCTCCCTCAATTCATCTTCTGGGATGGGACTGTCAAATTCAAAAGGCTGAGCCATTAGGGCATTGCTAACACATCCTATATCCTGATAACACAGAGATGTTAATCATGTGTCTTGCAAACTTCAGTCAACATCAAAAGAAGGAGTGGGCAAGGATTTTCCTACCTGATGATTAGATTTTTTTGGTTGTTGTTGAGACATGGGCTGGCACTGTAGCATGGGCTGGCTCTGAACATGTGGTGATCCTTCTGCCTTAGGCTCCCAGCTGCTGGGATTACAGGTATGCACAACCACACCTTGCTGGATTCCATTAAATAATTTTTCTGCAGCTACAGATATGATTGTGTAAGTGTCTTCTGTAGTCTGCTGATACTTGAATGTTGAATGAGCTTTTCACACCTAGGATAAATGTTGATTATAATATATATATATACATATATGTATATATATATATATATGTGTGTGTGTGTGTGTGTGTGTATTTTACAGATTGTTGGATTTGGTTTGCTAAAATTTGTTGAAGAGATTTACTTTGTTCTTCTGGTACCAGGGATTGGACCAGGAGCCTCACAATGCTATGAAAATGCTGAGCTACATTCCCCAGACTCCCTACCCTTTTTTGGAGACAGGTTCTCACTAAGATGCCCAGACTGTCCTTGAACTTGCAGTCCTCCTGCCTCAACCTCCTGAGTAGCTGGATTTACAGATATGCATCCTTAGGCCCAGCTTTCCCTGTCTTCTAAATATCTCACTTCCAGTTTCTTTTTTTTGAAAATGAGTTCTTGCTATATTTGTCAGTCTTGTCTTGAACTCCTAGGATCAACTGATCCACCTGCTTCACTCTCCCAGGCTGTTCAAACTACAGGTGCACACTGTGGCTGGTGTATTGCCCTGCCCTGCTCTTACCATCACCACACTAGGACCAAACTCCCGACAAGGAACCCTTTGTGGGACACACTTCAGTCATATCTAACTATATCTGTCATATAAAGCCTGGCCTGGAATTCTGTTTTTTCTAAATTTACATTTTTATCAATATATCATGGTTACATTCATTGTGGTAAGTTGGTACATGAACATGACATATTTTTTCTTTTTATTTTCCCTTGACCTCTGTTTCTTCCTTTCTCCCTCCATCATTTGGTTGCCTTTCCATTTGCAAAAAAATCCATATCTGGTTCAGTAGCTTAAGCACCTGCCAGGCAAGTACAAGGTCACGGGTTCAATCCCCAGTACAAAAAAGAATCCATCTCTCTGTTTCCTATTGTCTAGCTTTTATTTTTCTCTTTATTATTTGCATTTATCGCAGAAGAGAAAATGAATGATATTTAAGCTTGTATGTCTCATTAATTTGACTTAATATTATGGTCTCAAGGTGCGTCCATTTTCTCACAAGTAACTCAAATTAATCCTACTTTATGGCAGAGTAGTACCTCATTGTATATATTAGCACACTGTTTATCCATTCATCTGTTGGTGAGTATATAGGTCACTTCCTGGATTTAGTTGTTATGAAATGTGCTGCTATAAACACACATAGGCACACATCAGTGTAATGTGATATCGTTAATTCTCTTGGGAAGATACCTAAAAGAGGGATAGCTGGATTGGATGGAACTTCTGTTTTTGGTTTTTGAGGACTCTCTATACTGATTCCATAGTGGTTGAACTAGATTACATTCCTACTAACAATGTGGAAGGATTTCTTTTTCCTGAAGCTTCATTATCATTTGATATCTTGTAGATAGTTGTTTCTTTTTTATTTCAGAGAATAAAACAAACCAAGGGCTGAGGTTTTAGCTCAGCGGCATAAGTGCTTGCCTGGCAATCATGAGGTTGTGAGTTTGATCCCTAGCACAAAAAAAGAGAGAATAAAACAAAACAAGACAAAACAGAATAAAGTTAATCAGCACAGAACAATGAAAGCCTTATAGGACTTCAAAAAGAGACAGTAGGAAATCAACAATGGCTCTTGTTTTCTTCCAAATAGCTGTACATACATCAAACATAATAAAACAAAACAAAACAAAACAAAACAAAACAAAACAAAACATAATAAAACCAAACAAAACAAAAGAATGAAAGAGTATTTTATTTTATTATTATTTTTTTAAATGTCTTTTTTTTTGCCTTTTTTCCTTTTTATTGGTACCAGGGATGAAACTCACGACTGCTTGCTTGCAAGGCAAGGCGCTTATGCTGCTGAGCTAAATCCCCAGCCCCTTAAATGTCTTTTTGAGACAGTGTCTTGCTATGCAGTTCAGGTTGGTCTTGAGCTTACCTTATAGCCCAGGCTGGTCTTGAACTTGCAATGATATTCCTGCCTCAGTCTCCTGAGTACTGGGATTATAGGTGTGCACCACCACACCTGGTTATGAAAAGTGTATTTTAAAGAGAATAAAACCAAACAAAATAAAACAGAATAAAGCCAATGAAAACAAAACTGTGAAAATGATACAGGACTTCAAAACAGGATAATGGAAAATCAACAATGGCTACCATAATTCCTCTTGGTATTTTCAAAATTGCTGCTCCTGGCATCAGACATAATAAAATCAAACAAAACAGAACAAGAACAGACTAAAACCAATAAAAACAGAACATTGAATAGAATAAAACAATAAAATGGGACAAAAGTGCATATATATATATAATTTTAAAAAGCAAAATAGAAAAAATGGATGGAAGTGATACAGAATTTCAAAAAAGAAAAAAGTAGAGAATTAACTCCAGTTAATATAT